TGTAGAGGGATGACAATGACTTCTGTAATAAAGTTCAGGGATTTTTAACGATAGTAAGCCTTTTTAAATATTATATTTTTTTATAAGAAAAAGGTGAGATTTATATTAAAAAATAAAAATGCAAAGTGAGATTTCAACTCATTATAAATGGTGAAGATATAAATACAATTTTTTTGTGTCATTTTTTTATAGAACTTTTCATGTTATTAAATGAGTATATATATTTAATATTATGGATTCCAAATAAATAAATAAAAATATTTTAATGACAAAAAAAAAATGATATAAAAAAATTATTCTTAAATCATTTTGCTGTTATATATACTAAAATCATTAGCTCGCTTAAGGATACGACTAAGCCACTTACCATTAAGTCTCTCCTTGCACACAATTGTCTTACAATATCCTGAAACTAGGATGAAAAAATAAACATTTAGAATATCACTTAATCTTTCCAAATAGTAACATGTTACAGTCAGATGGGCAACAGACGTTGGTTTCATTTGATATTAGACCACCTCCTTGACTGTTCAACTGGCGAGAAAGTATTGATGATGCTGCAGACTCCCCTGGAGAATCTTCAATATCTTTTGTATAGAGTTGCAGACAGATCATGTTTGTGTTGAGTAGTTTGCAAATGTTGAGGTCCCACATCAAGAAAAATGGGAAGTTAAAAGGAATTTATAAAGGCTTATTTCTTATCAAAAAATAAAGAAATAAAGTGAAACTCAAGATAAATTGGGTTTTGCCCTTTATATATAATCAAAGATGGACATCTTGGGCTTGACTTTCAAAATATTTATTTTTTATTTTCGGAATTTTAATTTAATTTATTAAATTTTAATCCGAAAAGACATGGCTAAATATTGGATAACCTTTGGAAGTCTAAAGGTACCTCCATGAAATGGTGTTTTTCTGGAGGGATACATTCCTACAAGTAGTGGCTTTTCAACTAATATAAATTCTTATACAAAGTCAAAGTTCTACATCTAGTTTTTTGAGAGAGTTTGAGTTCTGTTATCCTGAAGGATTTTTGAATCCTTAAGGATAATGATATCACGCCTCAGAACTATCTGTTTTTCTTTCTGATAATTCTTATAGTTAACAGTTTGAACGTCGGCTAGCCTCGAGAACAAAATGGAACTTGTCATCGTGGCAAGATGAATATTCTGAAATAAACAAAATGATATCAGTCAATCAGAAAGCGAATTAAAGCAGTGGAAATGTCAGGTTACATAGCTAGTTAACACTTAAACCTCACCTTTGCAGTGTCAAAGAGGTTAACAACTTACAAGTGGAAGTCTCTTTGCAACCAAACAACATTGCCATCAGCCCCATGGAACACCTAAACAATCACAGAAAAAACAGACTTGAGAGAACAAGAAAAGAATCACTCTTTTGAAGTAAACTAGAGATACTGCAACAAACATGCTGCTCTTATTCTATTCTTTGCAACAAAACAGAAAAAAAAAGAAAAACAACTCAAAAATGAAAATGACAACAACAGCTATAGATTTACTTGAGACCAGAAAAAGAAAAAAAATTCAAACAAACAAACATTTTGAATGGCACCTTGCAAATATTAGGATCAGCAAATACTGGATGAAGAATACAGTGAATACTCATTGAATCATGTAATGCAATTGTATCCACCAAATAATCATCCTTCTTACTAGAAGTCTGCTATTCCAACCAAAACAGAAACATGAAACATTTCCATCTCAATAGTTAACATCAGTACACAACAACCTGTATTAAAGCAGTAAAACCTAGAAAGGATCGCAAGCTGTGTTGCTGTGTATCAACAGCAAAAACCTTCTCTTTGCTCAAAGCATCAGCTAGTTGAGTCAACTGCGACTCGGTATCAACCCAAACATAAGAATCACTCGTTTCCAAGTCTACATCGACGCCTTCCAAAAACTTAAACTCAACGGGCGGATTATCGATTGATGCCGTGATATCCGCTTCATATGGTTGCGATTTCTCTTCAAGACCGTCAAGGTTCAGATGGTTGAAAGGAGAGTAGGAATTATCAGCTAAGACGTGCTTGAATGTGTACTGAGGCTTAGGATCGGTGTGTAAGTAACAGCGAGCGGCGTGGCGGTTCTTCTTCTGTCGGCGTCTTCGGAAGATGATTGAGAGGGCTGCGACGGATGCTATTGAGAGTAGAATGATGAGCTTCTTCTTGTTGTGCTCCATTTTAGCTTCAGTCTACACTCTCTGGAACCGGAGAAACCTAAGCGGCGATGGTGGATTAACGTCGCGGCCAGCCGGCTGGCAGGTCACTTAGCATGTTTG